TATGATCTTTCTCCAAGTTATAAACTAGAGCAGAAGGTAAACTTGATAAAATAGACTTTTTGGTATAAAATATTAAACAGGTTAGAAAACTGGGGAGTGGTATTGTGACCTATGCAAGTGATTGAAATAAAACTCTTAACAGCAACTAGAAGAAAAAGTGGGAATAAAGGCCAGATGGGTGACAAGGGATTGAAGAAAGCAGTATAGTTAGATTAAAAGTGTAGGGCTTCCCTGGTGGCACAGTGGTTGAGAGTCCGCCTGCCGATGCAGGGGACACGGGTTCGTGCCCCGGTCCTGGAGGATCCCACGTGCCATGGAGCGGCTGGGCCCGTGAGCCATGGCCGCTGAGCCTGCGCGTCCAGAGCCTGTGCTCCGCAATGGGAGAGGCCACAACAATGAGAGGGCCGCGTACAACAACAACAACAACAACAACAAGTGTAGGGGCTGGATTATGTGGCCATTTGGAAATAATGCTAATGGTTTCCAGTTACTATTTTCGTACTAGTTGCCAAATATTAGACCAGGTGCTTTATATATGCTGTCTTATTTATCCTCATTACAACCTGTACAACAGAAATTATTACATCTATCCATGTAACAGATGAAGAAATTAAGACCCTGAGGAGTTAAATTACTTGCCCAAGTTCACATAGAAGACAGAAGGCAGAAATGGCATCTCGTCTGACTCCAAAGCTTTAGCTTGTTCTACTTTACCAGTAAAACGATTACTTTTAACCCTCAAATGGAGTGTTGATATATAAGGCAAATGAACCTCCGTGGAAAGCAATTTGGAACTACTGCATTACTCTATACGGTGAAAACTTCATTGTCCTCAGTAGCATTATTCACAATAGCCGAGAGGTTGAAATAATCCAAGTGTCCATTAACATGTGCGTGGATAAACAAAGGTGGTGTGTACATACAATGGAATATTATTCAGCCTTTAAAAGGAGTGGAGTTTTGACACATGCTACAGCAGGTATGAGCCTTGAAAACATTAAGTGAAGTAAGCTAAGTAAAATAAGCCAGACACAAAAAGACAATATTTGACGATTTCTTGCTACTGATTAGATCAGCATCTTAAGGGTCCAGCAATATTCATTCCCTGATCCTGTTTCCATATAGACCTAGAAATAGAAACAAATACTACCCTAGACACAAGTCGCTTAAATACTTTAATAAACAAATTTTATTATTAACTAAAAGTAAGCAAAACAACTGAACAAGAGGAAGTAGCATATTACTTCAGGCACAATAAGGACAGATCTTTTTGAGCATGAGTTTGTGAATCGATTGGAATTTTATACAAAGAAAACTTCCAGCCCTGGGTCCTCTCGGGAGTACCAATTCCCAGCCTGGTGACTACTTTTTCTTTACCTCTTTGTTTGCATCATCCTCCATCGCTTCCTTCTATGGGAATTGAGTTCCTATTGCAGACAAAGCACTGTGTTGAGGGGTACAAAAATGAAGTTCAGTAAACACAGTTTCTACCCTCTTCTCCTCCTGAAGGAGCGCCAGTTTGAGTCATGGAGAGAGCCATGTTGTCCAATTTATTTCCTGCAGTGCGTTAAATCTCATTGCACAGTGCAGTGATACAGACGCAGGTGAGAACACAGAGGGGCCGTAGCCTGATGAGATGGAGGCTGGAGGAGGCTCAGGGGAATGATGCTTGAGCTTAATTTTGATGGAGAAATTAATTTCCTCATTCAACCAACAAACATTTACTAAATACCTGTTACACGTCAGATATTTTTCTAGTGTTTCCAAAGTTTAGTGTGCACCAGAATCATCTGGAGGGCTTGTTTAAACACAGATCGCTGTTTGCGGAGGCAGGAGGTCTGCAGCGGGTTTGAGAGTCTGTGTTTCTAACATGTTTCTAGGTGATGGTAATATTGATCTAAGGACTGTACTTTGAGAACCACTGATTTAGACAGAGCAGTATGAAATGGGGGAAAGCAAGCAGTGCCACAGGTCGGGTTGTGCAGTTTTAGCATAAAACAAAGGCACCAGCATGGGCTGTGGGGCCGCAACGGACCTTGAAATCCAGCCCTTGTTGCACTTGCTAGGCCCTGAGGGCAATGTAAGCATTCGGGAAGGGCCGCTGGTCTGTATTTTGTCCACCCAAAAGGGCCCCTTTGTTAAATGTCTGCCCTGTGGGTATGTCTCCTCAGAGGGACCACTTTTTTGGAACTTGCACAAAGGCATGGGGTAAACCAAAGGCTGGAAGCAACACACAAAGCAGGGCAAGTGAGATGGAATTGCAGGTGGCTTAGAGTGCCCAGAACAAAACAAGTGATGGTGAAGCTATGGCTCCGCACTGGTCAACCTGGCTTCCAACTGTGGTCTGTTTCACTCAACAACCTCTATCCTTTTCCACACACAGATAGATTCTATGTTAAAATGTTTCACCCACAAGGAGACTGTCTGATTCTCATCCTGTCTTGGATCCATTCTGTCACTGTGGACAGCCCCTCAGCTTACCTACATCCAGACCAGGTGACGCTATCAGATATTAAATAGATCCCAGAAAAAGGCAAAGATAAGGGACTCTAAGGACCAACTGAAGGAAACTAATAAAAAAATGGCTTGGGTAGAAGATGGTGAATGAATGGAGAAGACCACACAGCACCAAGAAGCCTGGTGAAGATTATTGGAGAACATGAAGGCTCAAGATATGAACTTGGTGATTAATGGGAAAAGATGAAAGGAAATTACTGGCATTTCAAGTCAAGAAACAATAACAGAGAAGACTATCAGAGTGGCTGTATTTGGAGTTGACCTGAGAGAATTAAGCAAATGTTGCTTGAGAAAGCCTATTAGGAGAAGGATAGAGTCTTTGGACAAAATAACATCCTAAATAAGAGATTCTGCTGAGTAAGGAAGAAAGGGAATAGCCTAGAGATGGAGATTCTCATTTTTTAAATATTTAAAAGAAGCACAGCCTGCCAGTTATGTTGTGGGAACCATGCTTGCTGTACATATCTAGGATGTTTCCACTGCCTAGAATTATTCACCCGCTTCTTTTCAACAGGGCTTTTGGTTTCAGGGAATAAGATTCATGTGATAAAATGGATTGGGTGAGAACAAGAAAATATTGAAATTTCAACCTTTCTGTAGCAAAGGCAAAAGGCTTCAGAAAAGATTATTTAAGGTCTGCTAAGAGTGCAGTGTTCAGACTTTCCTCAACACAAGAGAAACTGTTCTCTGTGTTACCCAGTTAATGTGCAGGTAAAAATCTGCTGTCTGCAAAGTATCTCACACGTGAAGACCCAGCAGGCGTCAAGGCCCTGGGAGAGATTGTTAAAACACCCTCTGGAGCATCTGATTCAACTTCTCATGTATAACCTGAGAATTTGCATTTCTAACAAGTTCCCAGCTGTTGCTGACGCAGCTGGTCTGGGGACCACACTTTGAGAACCACCATTTGTAAACATTAATAATGTCATTTCTTACAATGAAGAAATCAGTGTCTAAATGCCCAAAGTCACAGCTGTTGGACAGTTCATAAAGCAGTGTGATACAGCTACTGAGTTAAGACAACACCCCAGGAAATATGGGCACCTCTCACTCTGCCACAAAGAGAGACTGCCAGTTTGCCCCAGTCTGCTTACCAAGGATCTCATACCCAAAGTGACAGGTGCAACATAGCAGTGTTTCATAAATTTGACCTCAGTGGGTGAGAGTTGATTATAATAGGCAAGGCTGATTGGGTCATACCAAGTAAATGGAGGATGTGGAAACTGTAGACAAGTTTGTCGTGAATTTTCTATTAAATGATTAAAAGATTCCCTAAAGGTAAATGTGAGGGCATATATTTGCTCCAATCATCTGTCAGAGCAAAATTTATGCTACACATATCTTTGAACGTGCCACTCTGTATTTGAAGAATACCATCCGCTGGAAACAAGCACAAAGAGAATAGCATGGAATAGACTTCCTGGTGATGTCCACAGGCAGGTCTGGGAGCCCATAAGCATCTTAAATCAAAAGAGCCACCACTGAGATTCAGCTGCAACTCACACGTGCGTCATTTAAACACGCTTAGATTGAGTGGCTTATCTGGCCCCAAATAAGTCACTGAAATAATTGGAAGCAGAAAGAGCTTTTGTACACTGTCCTTCTTTCTTTGATCGCTGGACTCATCTCTTCAATGAACAGGTTTCACCCAACAAAATGATACGTGGTTTGGAACTACTGTGGAATAAGCTCAGATTGGTGAACCAACAGCCCTGTTGGTTCCGAAAATAAAATTGTGCAGGCACTGAATAAGTATCACAGGAAAACATTACCAAGTCTTATTAGGAATACCGTTGGAAGTAGCTGTGATGGGAGGGTGGGGCCCAGTTCCTTTAAGAGGAAGGTTGGGACTATTGAGTTCGCTCTCAGCTCCTCTCATTAAAAGGGACTTAAATGAAGACTCCTGACTGTGAAGGGGAGGCCAGCCAGGCTGGGTGAAGGAGGAGGCTTCTGCTAACAAGCCTGGTATGGGGCCTTACACAGAAAATCAGCACAATTGACATCTTTTGTTGTTTCTATGCGGACTGATGTGTGGGAGAGAAGGCCCTGTTGGGTTAGTTAGGGATATCCTTTTTGAGGGAGCCCTGGAAAAGGAGCCAGATGGTGAAATAAAGACTAGCTGAGATCAATGTGACAGGGGCTTCGCAGCACCTTTAGTTATGGCTCTGTTATACTGGGAAAAAACAGTTGTTCCCCTTCTAGTTACATGCTTTGCTTCTGTGGTGTGAGTGTCTTGAATGTGCCTCTATAAATGCAAGACGCCAAGACCAATATAGAGTGTTGTTTTAAACTGTACACACAAAGGCTCCTCGGTTAGACCTCTTCCCATGGTGTAAGTATTTTGATGGTTGCCATTTTGCACTCTGCCCATGGGGTAGAGCCAGGTAACCGTAAATCCCAGCTGGGCTGATCAGCAAAGACTCACTCTAACCCACTTCGGTCAAGCAGCTCATGTTCTTTTAAGCACTTCTTCTTCTTTTTTTAATACAGAAGTATTTTTTAATTTAATTATGTGAAACACAAAATGCTGACTTGACATATATCCACATGTAACTCTTTCTCTCACGTTTACAGCTCAACAGATTGGTGAATCCAGAGGAACTGCTATAAACACTACTGTATCGGTATTTCAAAAGTTTATTCCAACCCATTTCTTCTTTTATACTCTAAAACATCTTCATTATGCTGTTGGATGAGATAGATCCACAAGAAGACGGAGGTGCCCAAGGTCAGTCCAACCTTCAGCCAGTCAGGTCTGCCAAGTGGCGATTCCCGAATGTAGAACTTTGACCGCGCTGAAAAGCTGCTGGGGAGCCTGGCCGAGGCCACCAGCTTGGACAAAGGGCGCAACAAGGCGGACGGCACCATCTTGCCGGGCTAGGCTCCGCCTCCTCCAGCCCCGCCGCTCCCGGGGGTCGGTGTCCAGCCGAGCGCACCCTGGCGGGCGGAGGTGCGGAACTGCGGGCGCTAACCCCCTCTTTGAAGCACTTCTGACACGCTCAGCACCCTTATGTCCTCAGCGCTTGTGAGTATTTGGGCTTTCCCAGCAAGGAGGATGACCTGGTCCCTACAGTTTATACCCTACTGCTTGGCCTTCAGACAGTGTGCTCACCGTAAATGAATCCAAGGAAAAGATCGGATTCAAGATCAGATTCAAAGTTAAGTGGAATTTGATTTGATAAGGAAATATATTTACCTCTTAAATGTTAGATTCATATGTATTAGAGCAAATTAAAATTAACTTTAATATTACTAATATTACTAATAATGTTCAACACTACCATGTTTAATGCCATGGTGGTAATGTAGTTACTGAGGCTTTGCTGAAACATGACAACTGCTAATAACTGCTGCTTTTTGAATGCCTACTATGTGCCAGGGGATTTATGTACATTATTAATCTTCCAAAAACTCTGTCAGATGTGTAAACCTTGTAATTAAGATATAGGGACTCTGGCAAAAAAAAAAAAAAAGAAAAAAAAAAGCCCAAGTAAATTGCTTAAGATTGCCCAAGTAGTAAGTGGGAGAGATGGGCTCAAACTTAGGTCTGTCTGACTCCAAATCCCATGAGTTTCCACAACAATATGTTATCATTTTAGTGTTTTTCTCTAAGAAGAAGGAAAATTATTTTAATATATTTGGAAACAATATTATCTTTTTATTTTAAGATTTTGCAAGGCAGAATAGGAACATAATCTATCATAAAAGTACGTTTGGTATCGCAAACTCCAGGAAAATAATGGACGCCTTTCTAAAGGATGCAGCAATTCTCCCCCACTGATTTCGCATAGCATTCATCTACAGAATTTAACTTTTTCTAGATTCCTGGAGGAAAAATCCCTCCTTACATGATAAAATTAAAGGCATATTCATAACCAAAAATTCCTCTAAGCAGAATTGAATTTTAAGACTTCCAGCAAAAAGAGACTGACGTCTCAGCAGAAGGTAAATAAAGATACTTTCTGCATCTTCTACATTAATTGACACTCATTTTAAAATATACTAATTAGTTGATGGACAGTGAACTAAGGAATTTTCACCTTCTAGTAAATTATGTGAAGTAGTGGCACCTACAGACAATGTACGATATTGCAGTCTAGCATCATTAGAAAGAAATTCTAAAGACTTTAGTATAGGAAGAACCTGTTTTGTCAGGTTTTAATTTGTATTTATTTATTTTAAAATTTATTTATTTTTTACTTTTTTAAATTTTTGGCTGTGTTGGGTCTTTGTTGCTGTGTGCGGGCTTTCTCTGGTTGCAGCGAGGGGGGCTACTCTTCGTTGTGGTGCGCAGGCTTCTCATTGCAGTGGCTGCTCTTGTGGCGGAACACGGGCTCTAGGCACGCAGGCTTCAGTAGTTGTGGCATGCGGGCTCAGTAGTTGTGGCACACGAGCTCTAGAGCACAGGCTCAGTAGTTGTGGCAGACAGGCTTACTTACTCTGTGGCATGTGCGATCTTCCTGTGCCAGGGCTTGAACCCATGTCCCCTGCACTGGCAGGCAGATTCTTAACCACTGCGCCACCAGGGAAGCCCCTGTTTTGTCAGGTTTTTAAAATTACAGAATGCATCTTCCTGGAAAAATACACTATGTCTGGAGTATAAGTAGTCACAGAATATGCACGGCACATCTTTCTGACATCTCAATTTTATTCGACATTTATATACGAAAATAAATGTTTATTGTGACTTAGATGGCACAATTAGCCTGATTTTTTTTTTTTTATCTATGATGGAAATCTTCCAAAAGTGTCTCTGTTTCAAACACATTCATTTTCGTCTTGCTATTAGAGGTTCTTCAGTGGAAAACTTTTAGAAATATTGGATCTAGCTCATTCCCTTTGTTTGAAAGATGAGAAAAGTCATGTGCCAGCTTGTGTCTAGGCTCAGAGAAAAGTTCAGGGAAGACAGACTTACAGACTCCTATTCTTCATTCTTTCCATCTGAATTTACCACAGGGTCCCCGTTTGTATGGTAGATACTCAATCCAAATAGAAAAAAAAAGTTCACTTTGGGGAATCACAAACACGTGGTCAAAAGAATTTGGGGAATGTGAAAAGTTCTATAACCTCGGAATCACTGAAAATTGGTAGCAATGCTACAATAAAAATCTCCCATGGGAGAAATTCTGCAAGTTCTCAAAGGACTGTGAGTGACGTTGAGCAACTCCAACAGCAAGCACGTCTTCTTGCTGATCGTCAGTCTCTTTTTGCTGGAAGTTTTAAAATTCAATTCTGCTTAGAGGAATTTTTGGTTATGAATATGCCTTTTATTTTATCATGTATGACAGCAATTAAATCACCAGCATTAGCTTTATAGCACAGTTAACATTCTGAAACACATCTATTCCATATAATGAAAGATACTCAAATTTAGGCCAGATTTTTAAGTTCAAAGAATAGCTTTAAAATAAGACTGCCAATGAGGTTTATTGTTTGATATGCAGCTAGTTAGATATCCAGATTTTGGGGTCCTGCATGTCTTTGTGTTCTACTTTGCTTTATCAGAAAGCAAAAGGACTTAGACGTGGCCTAACAGTAGACAGATAACTTCAAAATTTCCAAATGATTCTTCAAAATGAAATCATAGACTGAGGTTGGCAAAAATAAGAACTGAAAATATGTAAGGATCATTACTACAGCAGATAGCCAAGCCAGGCTCAAATGGGTGCAAATTAGCTGTTACCACGTTGCTGAAGAGGCACGCATTTGGCTTTTAGTCAAAGCGACGTGGTCAACATGGAAACATTATTGTTGCACGTAACTAGTGTTTCAGATGTAGGGAGCCTCCAGGGTTTGTTAATTCAGCAACTTAAGAAAGCCGTTAAATACCCAGAATTATTCTTTTTCTTCTATCAGCCTTGCCATCTGGGATAGGCCCTTTCATGCTCGCAAAATGATTCTATCTGCAAACTTTACATCCTCACACATCAATGTCCAGAGGAAAAACAAACTCAAGAGCCCTCTCTCACATGTCTTTCTTAAGAGCTTAGAATCTTTCTCCAGGAGTTATTCCAACAGATTTCCACTCATGCCTTATTAGATTGGGATCAGGTATCTCTTTCCAGCTCAATCTCAAAATGGAAAGGGAAATTGAACTACTGTGTTATGATTGGTTGAAGGCAATCAGGATTCTTGGGGCTGTGACTGGGGCAGGACTAATCTTTCCTGAGCCCTAATACCTGCATCAAATATGGGTTCTACAGAAGGAAAAAGGGCTCTTCGCAAAAAACCAAGTGTCTCCTACACGGCACATCATAAAGCAACAGAAATTAACATCCCCAAGGATCGATGGGGAGAAACTTTTAGCATGGAAGGTACCTTGATATAAAATAGAATGTATAGGGACTTCCCTGGTGGCGCAGTGGTTAAGAATCTGCCTGCCAATGCAGGAGACATGGGTTTGAGCCCTGGTCCGGGAATATCCCATATGCCGTGGAGCAACTAAGCCCGTGTGCCACAGCTACTGAGCCTGTGCTCTAGAGCCCGTGAGCCCGCATGCTGCAACTACTGAAGCCCCTGCACCTAGAGCCCGAGCTCTGCGACAAGAGAAGCCACTGCAATGAGAAGCCCACACACTGTAACGAAGAGTAGTAGCAGTGGCAACTAGAGGAAGCCCGTGCACAGCAACGAAGACCCAACACAGTCAAAAAATAAATTAATAAATTAATTAATTTAAAAAAATAGAATGTATAAGTGAAAGATATGCTTAGAGGACTTAAAGAAAGGAAAACACATTAGGTCAGTGTTTCCATCTATCCCTTCTGCTATCTGGGAATTTTATCTCTGACTCCTAATCACCAAAGGCAAAGGCAGACTACATCTTAAGGCTACTTTTCTCAGCTAGTATGTATACAAAGTACAAGAAGGATAATGACTTGTCTTGCAAAATACTGGGACAGCAAAAGGGTTTTGGTCCGGCTGCCTCTTTCCCCAGCACAACTCCATGGGTTCTTTGGGCTTACACACACACACAAATTCATAAAGGCTGTTTCTAGCATTGCTGAGTGCCTGATCTTGGGTTGTGGCATCCTGTGGGAGAAGGGGCACAGGAGATGAAAAGGAAGGTGTTTGTTCTCAGGAAGAATTCAATGTAAGGGTCCTGTCAAACAATGTAGATTATGTAGATAATATAATGGAAGTTTATGTTGGTAATTTCATTTACAGTGCATATTCTTATCATGTTCTACATTATGGTTACAAAGTAGATTATAGGATTTTTTCCCTCAAACAAGATTGAAAAGTTCAAAGGGATGTTATTTTAATAAATCTCTGAGCCAGAATCACATAACAGTATCATTTGAAGAAGAATTCTTAACCTTCTCTGTGGAAACTTGAAAAACATTAAAGAAAGGCAAGCCTCAAGACTTTCTACTAAAAAAAACTGGTTATAAACATTTTTTAGCATAAAAGAAAATTGTACTTGGATATCCTATCTAATAGCAATTAATGTCCTAAAATTATATTTAGCTAAACCATATTTAGCTGTACTAAAGAAAGCTCAGGCTCTTTTCAGATCTAATATGATTCCAAGAATTCTAAGATTTTATGTATTACTTAATGTTGTTGTTCTTTTTGTTACTGAGTATTTGAAAACTACACAGATTCATACATTTAACAACTATTCAGTAACTCATACACGCCAGGCACTGTTCTGAGTGCTTGGGATACATTTGTGAACAAAAGTAGACAAAAGATTGAAGCCCTTGTGAGCTAATATTCTAGTGAGGAAAAGAGAGACCACGAATGATAAACGTAACAGATTAATAGATATACTATGATAGAAGGTAATAAGTGCAATGGGGGAATACAGAGCAGGGTGAGAAAATCTAGAGCATAAGAGACATTGCCTCTTTTTTTATGTTTTTTTAAAATT